ACTTTCTATTTTTTGAAGTGAATTTTGATTGAATTAAATGATTAAATTTATATGAAAAATATTTTGTTAAACTTATGACTAATTAATTCATAAATATTTTGCTAATTAAGTTGTAAGTTTCATCTGAGTATGCGTATATACAAGAAGAATTTAGTTCGTTAACATTTCTCGTTTGCATTTACTTAACCACCAATAATTGTAAATAATTTCATATTATCAAATAAATTTAAAATCATATATTAATCTCTCACATAATTCTAATTATTTATCAATATTAATCATTAAACATAATTATTAAAAGTAATTATTGTTAATTTACTTTTCAATCTGTTGCTCATTTTTCATCAAATTTTGTTAAGTATAAAAAATTTAACGAAATTTTTATTGATAATGGAAGTATTTGTAATTTGAATTTCATTTCTAAACATTTATTTCTGCGAATATAAAAATACAAAATATTACATTAATCAAATCAGAGTATTGCTTTATTTAAAAAAGAAGAAACATCCTGATATCATATCAATTAATATTTTTATCTTTCATTTCATTTCATTTGAAATGGACAATTACATTTAGTTATCTGTTTTTTCGGATAACTAATATTGCTGAACAAATGAAAGCGAATATAAATCCATAAAAAAAGCTACGCATTGTAGCAGCTTCTTGCCAAAAATAATGATTAGAATTTGTACAGTGACAATGGTAGTTATTTTTCGAATCTGTTACAATTTTAACATCAGTATCTTTTGGCACTAATTGCTTCCTAAAATTGAAATTAACTAATTATTTCACTTTAATTATTGATAGATGAAATAAGCATTAAAAAAAAAAAAAAAAAGAAAATAATGTTTAAAAAAATATTAATATCAATTAGATAAATTATAATACTGCTAACTTATAATATATTGGTGAATTTGACTCTGAATCATTTGAAGTTCGAGAATGATCAAGAAGAGCAGTATGTCGTCGAATTCGTTTAGCATATTCAGTCGATAATGAAACTTTCATGTCATTATCAATACGATGCTGCTGTTTACGATGCGGTGATTGCATTTCTGGCTCCAAACATACAAATTGAGCTTCTTGAAGTAGATGAGCTATAAATTGAATTTTATTTATAAAGAAATTCAGAAGAGAAAAGAAAAGAAGAAAAGAAAAAAGATAAAATGAAAATTAGATCAATGACAAATAATCCTATTATCTAAATATGTATAATTGAAATATATTTCTAACAACTTTTTTTTCTTTTTTCATATTAAAAAATATAAGTCGAAAAATTAACAATGATATACATTCCGGCAAGCTAACCGTTATTTTCTGGTTGATTCTGCTCCCAGTACTGTATAGCTGATAATCCGAAACTTTCAGTGGGATTTAATGCTAAGACTTTATATGTGAAATCATGTTCCTGAATGATGAAAATTTTAGAATACAAAATAGCTCTGCTTTTCTTTTTTTTTTCAATTTGATAAATTTTATTACATAATTTTCTGTTGAATAAATTAAATGTTATTATATATTTACTTTTAGAAAACGAAATAAAATAAATTTTCATTAAATTAGCGAATGTATAAAAATGTTTTAGACAAACAAAGGGAAGAACCTTTTTTGGTTTTGGTGTATCATTTATTGAAATACCAATAAGACGGCAACCATTTGGTGCCAAATAATCAATTTCTGGTTGAATCAAATAGTTGATATCTGTGGAATTTGGAACAATTTTAAAAATAAGTTTGTGAGGTGATGTATTGACGAGGATTAAATTTGCTGTTTGTTTGTTCAAATTTTCTTTTAGCGGACGTGGCGTAAACGTAGGAAATGGCGGTTCTAGTACGACTGGCATATCGGTAATTTTTGGCCTTGAACCATCAGTCGGCATTTTGATGAATACCAAAACGGCAAGATAAACAGCATAAGAATGATATGGATTAAGTAAACAGCTTCCTTTTATAATTCCTTGCAAATGAAAATAAAAATGCAAATTTGGATTTTGTTAAAAATTGTCCTTAAGATAATTTTACGTAAGGTTGTACTCTATGATGTGATGAACAGGCATTTGTTGCTACTGATAAAGAAGATATATGAATTCTGTAAAACAATTTGTGAAATAGAATTAAACCACAATACACGCATAGACTAATTAAATGAGGATTCTTTCATATTACTGTAAGAATGCTGTCAAACAATAACAAAATTATTTTTATACGATTAAATAACAAAAAGCGATTGAAAGGATTCGAAATCAGCGTTTGCCACCAACTCGTGGTTGCTGGGTTTTCGTCGGTTTTGGTATCTTCATCTTCTGTGGAGCAGCCTTCTTTTCCTAAAATTCAGCTTTGGTGTATAAAGCGATTTTTTTTTGGAAACAAATAAATTTCAACTGTTTCCGTAAAAACATTACTATTGAACATGTAGCCTAGTGATGAATGATATTTCCACTCTTAGTCAATAAAATCTTCAAAAATGATATTTAGGAATATAAAACCATTTATATGCCTCTACCTTCAATGCCTTATTTGCTGCTTTCTTCTCGCTCTTTGAAGCTCGCGCAGCTTCTTTCGCAGCTTTTATTGCTTGTTCACGTTGTTCACGTCGAAATTCTGGTTTCTGGTTTCGTTTTGCAAGTATAGCTTCCAGTGAAACATTGCCAACTGCTCGAGACGCAATTTGTATAACGCGTCGTGTACGTTTCTTTTGTGCATTTTCTTCACCATGAACACCCTTCAAACAACACTGTTAATAAAATCCAACGCAGTCTTAATCTAACATCTCTCGATGTTCCAATCTAAACACTTACTGGATGGGACAATACAGAAAAAGTGTTTAGCCAAGCCCAAAAAAAACACTAATCAGTAAAATCAATACGAATCAAAAATTAGCATAGTGGCTTAATATAGCAGCAGCATGTCACATCAGCAGCATCTTACCAGAAAATTTTGAGTAATCTTTGATATGCAAATTGCAAAAAACAATTTGACCCGAAAAACTAAGCAACTTTAGCTAATGCTGCAATCACCTAATATATTCTTTCATATATCTTATTAATTCAATTATACAACAAACCTTTTTGTGTTTACGGCGATACAACACTGTCCACGGTATGTCACGAGGATTTCGCTTCAATTTGTACGACCGTAGGCATTTTTTATTCAAAAATATTTGCACCTGCAACAGCAAAAAACACAACTGAAATAATTAAATATAATCAATGAAGACATAACACCTCATACTGCTTTATGAACTAAAAGATTCAAGAGTAAGAAAGGATGACAGAATGAATAGAAAATGTTGAGACTTTCTACAAAAAAAAAAAAAAAAAAAATTTGTGAAAATATTATCGTTGTTTATTCTAAATAATCCAATTCCTTCCTTTGCTTACTATTTTCGCCAAATCTTCCTCACTGCAGTTAATGATATTCACAACCGACTTATCGCAATCATTTATCATATGCTTACATATTGCTGATTCAATTCTCACGGATATCACATTTTTATTTTCATGATATTATGTTTCTTCATCTTATATAATATTTTCAAAAATAAGAACAAAATAAAAACCAATAATATCGAAACATTTATAAAAACCAAATAATAAATAAACTGATACACCTAATTCCAGACGAACTAATCTCAAGCACAATTTACATATATTATCGATAGAATGATGCATACAAATAATGCAAGAAATGGGGAAAATACCAATAGCACGAAGAAAATGACAACAAGCTACTGAAGTGCAAATTGCTGACATCTTCCTATCATTCATTTACAGAATCCAAATACACTACTTACCTTTCCATCAGCACGAACCATCCTTTTCCCATGTCCTGGATAAATCTTATATCCTGAATATACACAAGTTTCCAACTTCATTTTCCACTTTTTCCTAAAAATTCAAAACATAGAAGACTGATGAAATTTAGGATAGAACGGCTATAGATTATTATTAAAAATAATATTTACGCGCAATGATATTACACATGAAGCATATCAAAATCACAAAGTATATGAAATCTTCGATGCAAATTGCTTATCGTTATATTAATAATCACAACAGAAGTTATCAAAATCTGATGCAAAAAAAATTCAAGATGTAGGAGAAATTATGAACAAGTTTTAAAAAAAAAGTTAAGATACATGAAATAAGCAAGTGCGTAAAAAAATATTATATCAAAATAGTTAAAACAAGCAATAATGCTTATTTTTGGATGAGCAACCGAAATAAATAGGTAGCCTCAAGAGAATCGAATGATTCCTTAATATATACTCATCGCTTCCTTTTACTATAACAAAATTACGTTTGTTAACAAACTGAACAAGAAGACAAAGGATTATAGTAGAATTATATATTTATATGTATACATATATAAATTTGGAAAAAACATGACGACCCTTGATTCGGAAAACCGGTACCAATAAGAAAACCAAGGAACCACAAAGTAACCACACGCAGCATCAGTAGACTAAACCTACTCAATGCACAAACTACTGTATATTAAACTTCATCTTATGACCTCTGTTGTGTATTGCAACCATATTTCCATTTCCAAAGTAATTAAAATTTTATTTCCACTAAAAAACATATTGTTGCAATTTAATAAGTAGTTGCAGGTGTCAAATAGAACGGTCAGCAGAAGAAAGTGATATGATTTACAGAAAATTAATTTTCAACTAATAAAACTTTATAAAATAGAAATTTTTCGAACATAAATAATTTTTCATTAGAATTCATTTAAAAATTTTATTTATTTATTTATTGTGTAAATCGTTTTCTTTCTACTATCATCGTATTGATTATTTATACAATCTTATGAAATAGTATTTGTAGAATAGCATGCAATAATGATTAAAATAAAAAAAAAAATTTCGAGACAAATATTTATTTAAATACACAATTTCTGCAACTATTAATTGATAACAGATAAGAATTATGAATTATTTCACTTCTAATAATACTATCAAAAAAAAAACTATCGATAGCAAAATTTCACATTATTCTCTCATTTGAAGATTGGTACGTTCGAAAAACGACCAATACCGCACATAAATACCCCAGCGCGAATACGACCGTATCCTTTTTGACCCCATGTAGGGCCCCAACTATAAAATTAGTAATAATAGTTAGTAAATAAATTAAATTAAATTAAATATAGCTTTTGATACAACAAAAAGTTATTTCAATTTATCTGTCTCGAGTAATTAAGACACATAATAGTATGAATTCTTCTTCTTTTATTATCGTCATTCCCATTTATCTTCCTAATTTCCATTTTTACCTTATTTTTTTTAAAACCTTTTCCTTTTATATTAATCAAAATTTTCATTATTATTTATCATGTGTTTTTGACACACGATAAGATCATTATTATTTTTCATTATTGGAATATATTCAAAGAAAAGAAAAAAGAAAACAAAATCCTCAGTCCTAAAAATTTTGCTAAAATTTGTCATACCTATTTCTGATGATAAAATATTCCGTATTATTTTCGACACCATAACCAACTGCTACTACAGCATGATTTACTTTTTTTGCATCAGTTGGACATTTTGGATCATTATAAATACCGGAAAATTTTTTAGTATTAAAATTATCAAATTGATTCAAATTATCACTTTCAAAATTTCTTACCATTTTTTTTTTTTTCATCTTTCCTATAAATTACTTACCACTTCGATAAGCGACAAAACTTGGTGATGACGAATACAATGATACACTAACTGGTCCATACAATGCCAATACCCTCTTGAGAATTCCTTCTTTGTTAGGCGGCAAATAAACGGCATCAACTAATCCATACTTTTCTCGTCCAGTCTTCTTCTTTGGGCAAGAAGAATCATTCTCTTTGTATGGATAATCTTTTTCTTTCTTTACACCATTCTTAGCAATCCAACGAAAAACCTAAAAATCATTTTTGCTATTAATTATGTCATTTTTCACTTATATTTATAATTCATGGATAATTAATTAATTAATAATAAAATAACAAATTTTCACATACCGCAGGTCCATTTCCGCCTATTCCTTTACATTTGGACACTCCACTACAATCCATTACATCCTGTACTGATAGTTGTATGGGAGCTTTTTTAGTTCTGAGCGCTACATGCATTTCGAGCGCTCCTAATGCTGAGAAAATAAAACACGAGCCGCAACGACCCTAAAATTTGATTAATTTCAATTTATATAATATATAAATTATTGTTTTATGAACACAACAAAGAAATAAAAAAAGCAGACAAAGAAATGAAAAGGAATAAGAAAAAATGAAAGAAAAAGACAATTATTTAAGTTGGAACTGTTGAAATAAAGAAAGGAAAAAAATATTCACTCACTTGACGTCGTACCGGTAATGCAGCTATTTCTTTTGTGTAATCACGCGAAGCTGGTATTGACGTATTTCCACGGATTATTTTAGTCAAATTTCCTTCCACTTTTGCAGTCAAATCTGGATAATATCCGTGAAGTCTTCCTTTCTCTTCTTCCGTCTGAATAGAAACAACAAATAAAAAGCAAGAAATAAATCGAAATTAGAAGAGGAAAAGGTATGAAATTAAAAACGAAAGGAAAGGAAAAGAAACAATGAAATGTAATGCATAGCGGTTTTATTATTATTATTATTATTATTATTATTATTATTGTTATTGTTATTATTATTATTATTATTATTGTTATTATTATTATTATTATTATTATTATTATTATTATTATTATTATTATTATTATTGTTATTATTATTACTATTATTATTATTGTTATTATTATTATATGCTTGATCTGAATTTTCCAATTTTTTCTTCAGTTGTGACCCACCCAATCGCTCATTTCGTTCAGATCTACTTCGTATGTTTCCAATCCTTTACTGTAACGCTGGTTATGTTCATCAATCATTTTCAAAGATTGTGCAAATTTAAGTAATCGAATTGGTTCCGGAACAGATGGATCATGTTTTTTGCCTGTAGAAGATAATAAAATGTATGAGAAATCCTGATTGATAAAGAAGCTTCAGCTTTTTTTCAGGTTAGCTAAAATTTGAAGTTTCTCTCTAAGTTAACATTTTCATACCATTTCATTTTTTTTTTTCAGAATGAAAAATGAATTGCAGAAATGAAAAAAAAACCAATTAACTTACCCATTTTTTTCAGATATGTTTTATACTTCGAATAATGCTGCTGATACAAGGTATGAATTTTACCTGACAACTCATCATGGTCCCTGCAAATTAGTGATTTGAAATATTTTAAAAATTAGAACAAAAAAGCCAAGAAAAAAGAAATTATAAAGATTGCTGAAAGAAAACAATAGCATATGACATAATTTTTTTTTTAATTCAGTTGGATCAGTGATGTAATCATTACGACTGTATGCTTTGCCTGTTTGTCTTTGCCTCAAATTTCATATTATATTAGCAGTTTTAGCATTTTTTTTAACTTCCTAAATTTTATTCTATTCCAAAATTAAGACGAAATAAGACTTACAGTTCATTAAGTGGATTTGCATAAGTAAGCAAGAGAAAACTGGCTAAATGTAGAATAAAAAACGCCTTCATCAAGTTAGTTAACAATCGGTAAAAATTTTTTTCTTCCTTCAAGGTTCGACCAGCAGAAATTGTCGTTTGGTGTAGTATTAATGTCAAATTATTGATAAAAGCAATTTTTAAGTAATTATCATTTGCTAATCTTTGATGTTAAAAATATTTTTGATATATTCTTTGCATAACTTTGCTCAGTTTTCTTATAAATAACTTTTTTTTTTTTCCTTTTGTATAATTTGTCCCAAATTGTTTACAATTTCTGTTGCACAATAACACCAATATTTGTGGTGTACTGTAGTTTTTCTTTGTTTGACTGATAAGGGTATTCATTTCAATTTTGAATTTCTGCAGTGATGTAAATATATTTTTAGTATCAACAATTGCTAAGTTCTTTTTTTTAGCATAAAAATATTACTGATATTTCTGCATTGCAATTTTTGAATCAACCTATCACATGAATTTTGCATAATCTTTTAGTGATAACGAAGAAAAGTGATGCGGTTTATTTGTTATCAAGAGAAGAGAAAAGCGGGACATTTTTAAAAGCGAATTTTGTAAGAAGTAGAAATTTAAATTAACCAAATTTGATTTTTCATGCAAGAGTTTTGTCAAGAAATTACAACAGTAATGTAATTATTTCCTTTATTTTTATCAATTTTTACATTCATTATCAAGTTTTAAATAGGAGTCCTCCAGTTTTTTATTTTCTGACTCAGTTTATTTTCGCTTTTATTTTATCGCTGTTATATGAACTTGTATAATAGCACTCCAAGAATACCTACAATTATGTAAAGATAAGCCAAAAAAAAGGTCATTAACTGTAATAGGGTCAAGGAATGTTAGGAATGTTAGTAGGATCAAATACTTTCAGCTAGCTTAATAGGGTCAAACAGCTAGCTGAAAATGTAAGTGTGTACGGTTATACTTCTTTTACACGTAATTCACACGTAAATACAATAGGATTAATCAATCGTGAAATAATCTGTTGCACAATTTAACAAGAGCTAAATTGCAACGCCATTGAAAGATTTTGATTGTGCAGTAGCATACATATATTTTCGATTGTTTCTACTAATTCCATACCTTTTTTACTGCCAGCATCCATGCAGTAAGTTTTTTTGTATTTTATTAATTGCATCTTTTTTCTCATTTACCATTAATTTCCTTAAAACGTTCGTTCGGTCAGCAAAACAAAGGTTACACGGAACTGACCTGGAGATGAAGTTCATATCAAAGAAGTGAGAGGTACAGTGTGGAGGGATTTGATTTAGTAATTTTGATATATTCCATTCAATATTTAATGGGAATTTGACATTAATGCTGCACCAAACGACAATTTCTGCTGGTCGAACCTTGAAGGAAGAAAAAAATTTTTACCGATTGTTAACTAACTTGATGAAAGCGTTTTTTATTCTACATTTAGCCAGTTTTCTCTTGCTTACTTATGCAAATCCACTTAATGAACTGTAAGTCCTTAATTTTGGAATGGAATAAAATTTAGGAAGTTAAAAAAAAATGCTAAAATTGCTAATATAATATGAAATGCAAAGTGAGGTATATAGCCAACGACTTGAATCAAAAAATTTTCGCAATCTTTATAAATTCTTTTTTTCGGTCTTCTGGTTTCATTCTCTTGTTGAATTATTCAATAGTTTTTTTTTTTTTTCGACAGATTCGATTTCGATTCGGAACATTCGACAATTCGGCAAAAGTTTCGGATTGATATATTGTAAAAATACGATAATTGAGCATTCGAATGAATTTTTGATATAATTTTATTGTAATTAGAAGATATCTTAAAAAATCAATAAAGATATTGTCGACGTTGTATTGTTATGGCAATAACAAGAGCATATCATTAAATCTTTTCACAAATGATGATTGAAATGAGATTAGTAATATTTAAGGATAAGTAGCAAAACTTTTTGACAAACTTGCTATTCAAGCATACAATTTTTGCAGCATATGAGTGGTAGATAAAAATGACAAAATGTTTATTCAATTTCATATTGTTGTCTTATATGAAAACTGGTACATTCGAAGAATGACCAATACCGCACATAAATACCCCAGCGCGAATACGACCGTATCCTTTTTCGCCCCATGTAGGACCCCAGCTATAAAATTAATGATAATAGGTTAGCAAATAAATTCAATTATTTCAATAATCTATCTCGAACAATAACAACGACTCATATCATTTCAACTTTTCAACCTTATCACCTATGCTATTTCAAATTAATCGAAATTTCATTATTTTCCATCAGTTCATTGATAACATATTCTCATAAAGAGAATTAAAAAAATCTCGTGACTGGAAATTAATTAAAATTTGATATACCTATTTCTGATGATAAAATATTTCATTCCATTTTCGACACCATAACCAACAGCCAAGACCGCATGATTTACATAACTCCCATCAGATGGGCAATTTGGATCATTATAAATACCGAAAATTTTTTAATACTAGAATTATTAAATTTGTTCAGATTATCAATTTCAAAATTACTTATCAATTATCTATATGATCAGTTTTTTTTAATAAGTTTTTCTACAAATTACTTACCACTTCGATAAGCTCTAAAGCTTGACGATGAAGCATGTAATGATACACTAACTGGTCCATAGAACGCCAATACCTTTCTAAGAACTTCTTCATCGTCAAAAGGTAAATACATAGCGCCAGCTAATCTATAGTTTAATCGTCCCGATGTCGTTCTCGGGCATGAAATACTATCAGCCTCCTTATATGGGTAACTTTTATCGGTTTTTACACCGTGCTCAGCAACCCAATGAAAAACCTAAAAATCATTGTTGCTATTAATTATATTATTTTTTACTAATATTTATATTTTATGGATAATAATTAACTAATTAATAATGGAATAAAAAATTTCACATACCGCAGGTTCATTTCCGCCTCTTCCGTTGCATTTTTCCATTCCACTACAATCCATTACATCCTGTACTGATAGTGCTACCGGTGGTTTTTTAGTCTTGAGCGCCACATACATTTCAACCGCTCCTAATGCTGAGAAAATAAAACACACACCACAATCACCCTAAAATTGATTTCATTTCACAATAATAATAATAATAAATAAATAAATAAAACAATAAATAAATAACAATATTTCACAATAATAACAATAATAATACATTAACACTCTGTGCACATAACGACAAAAAAAAAGAATTAAAAACAAGAAGGTTAATGAAAATTGAAAGAAAAAATTGATTTAAATTAGTGAAAAAACTTACTTGATTTTTTACTGGTAGTGCAGCTATTTTCTTTCTGTAATCAATAGAATTTGGTACAGATTTGGATGATTTTTTTCCAATTATTTTACTCATATTTCCTTCCACTTTTGCAGTCAAATTTGGATAATATCCGTGAAGTCTTTCTTTCTCTTCTTCCGTCTGAATAGAAACAATTAAAAAGCAAGAAATAAATCGAAATTAGAATAGGAAAAAGTATGAAATTAAAAACGAAAGGAAAGCAAAAGAAACAATGAAATGTAATGCATAACGGTTTTACTATTATTATTAGTATATTATTATTATTATTATTATTATTATTATTATTATTATTATTATTATTATTATTATTATTATTATTATTATTACTATTGTTATTGTTATTGTTATTACTATTATTATTATTGTTATTATAATTATATGCTTGATCCGAATTTTCCAATTTTTTCTTCAGTTATGACCCACCCAATCGCTCATTTCGTTCAGATCTACTTTGTATGTTTCCAATCCTTTACTGTAACGCTGGTTATGTTCATCAATCATTTTCAAAGATTGTGCAAATTTAAGTAATCGAATTGGTTCCGGAACAGATGGATCATGTTTTTTGCCTGTAGAAGATAATAAAATGTATGAGAAATCCTGATTGATAAAGAAGCTTCAGCTTTTTTTCAGGTTAGCTAAAATTTGAAGTTTCTTTCTAAGTTAACATTTTCATACCATTTCATTTTTTTTTTTTTTTCAGAATGAAAAATGAATTGCAGAAATGAAGAAAAACCAATTAACATACCCATTTTTTTCAGATATGTTTTATACTTCGAATAATGCTGCTGATACAAGGTATGAATTTTACCTGGTGTGTCATCATTATCCCTGCAGTAAGAATTTGAGATATTTGAAATAATATTCGAATTCATTAAATTTAAAAATTTTATGAGAATGAGACCAGAAGACCGAAAAAAAGGAATTTATAAAGATTGTAAGAAGAAGGCAGAAACATTAATGAAAATTTTTAAATTCAATTCGTATACCTCACTTTGCATTTCATTTGTATTAGCAATTTTAGCATTTTTTTTAACTTCTTAAATTTTATTCTGTTCCAAAATTAAGACGAAATAAGACTTACAGTTCATTAAGTGGATCTGCATAAGTAAGCAAGAGAAAACTGGCTAAATGTAGAATAAAAACGCCTTCATCAAATTAGTTAACAATCGGTAAAAATTTTTTTCTTCCTTCAAGGTTCGACCAGCAGAAATTGTCGTTTGGTGTAGTATTAATGTCAAATTATTGATAAAAGCAATTTTTAAGTAATTATCATTTGCTAATCTTTGATGTTAAAAATATTTTTGATATATTCTTTGCATAACTTTGCTCAGTTTTCTTATAAATAACTTTTTTTTTTCCTTTAGTATAATTTGTCCCAAATTGTTTACAATTTCTGTTGCACAATAACACCAATATTTGTGGTGTACTGTAGTTTTTCTTTGTTTGACTGATAAGGGTATTCATTTCAATTTTGAATTTCTGCAGTGATGTAAATATATTTTTAGTAATCAACAATTGTTAAAAAATTCTTTTTTAAAAATCTTATATATTCGTGTGGCGGTTTTTAAACTAACTTATTTCAGAAATGGGAAATGTTGAACATTTTTGGAAATTCAAAAATAAGAGATGCAGAAATTTAGGATAACCAGATTTGGTTTTTCATGCATGAGCTTGGCTAAGAAAATTTTTGAAATATAATTTATTGTCAAATACAATTTTGCTTATACTTCTTTTTTCGTTTCTTTCAAACTAAAATTCCCTAATGGAATTGTTAATTGAAGAATGGATCAAATCAGTTTTTGTATTATTCATCGTTAGAAGCAAATTTTATGATTAGAAAATTTTTGTGATGATTTATGGTCTCTAAATGTATAAAAAATATTGTTGATTAGTTACTTTTGTTTTGCAGGAAATAGGAAACAGTCAGATCTCAAATTAAGTGATAAGAAATTTTTGGGTTAAATAATACCTTATCAATTACAGACAGAAGTGTCAACAGGAATTGTTTTCCAACCAAAAATCAACAGAAGTTGGCAACTTCAGAGGACATTTTCGGCTTTGTGTATTGCAAAATGAGACATTATCTTCTATCACCGCTAAAAGCTTTTCTATTCCTTTCATTTTTACAAATTTCCATCTTAAGCTGTAACAGTCTAATTCATCAGTATGTTTTTTTTTTTCTTAAGTTATTATTTTAACAAATCATTAAAATCTGAATTGTTAATATTAAAATTAAAGATAGCTTTTCGTATTCAATTTGCTACACTAAAATTTTCATTGAAAAAAAATTTTTTCTGGTCAGTTTCAGCCATTTAATACTTGGTTTGATAAATTTCACAGTTTGCAATCTTCTCGTGGCATTTATTTTGCAGGCAATTCAAAGCATTAAGTCACTCAAAGTTACGTGCATTGTATTCGAAACATTATGATGATTATGTGAAATTTGTAACAGAATACAGTAAGTAATTAAAAATTCCATTAGCGGTTTTCTTAATACTTCTTATTTTTATTCGACTGGTTTAATTTACTTCACTCATCTCATTTGTAATTTTCAGAATCGTTAGTCGAAGCATTATCACTTTAATTAAAATATGAATTCAATAAGTTGAATCGACTGCAGATAGTTTTCCTGACCGCTTAAATGATATTATATATTTAAATTTATTAATTATCGTGCAAATTTCACGCATTAATTTTTATTATAATTTGATTAATTATATTTGAAATGGCTACGTGTGAGCTGCCAAACAGCGCTTTACGTAATTCCCAGCAAAACCACGCATTATTTTAGATTTATCCAATAAATTCAAAACTTATTTCCAATTTCCGCTTTCGTTGTAGAACAAGGAGTTAAGGATAATCGACCGGAACCACATCGCTTGTTGGCTTATGCTAAAAATGTGGAAGAAATTCAAAAGCATAATGAGTTGTATAAACAAGGCAAATCATCGTTTATGCTTGGCTTAACTGTAATGAGTGATATGGTAAGATGAAATTTTCCATTCCTTAAAATATGAAAAAAGAATTTTAATTACAAGTGGTATAAATTATGGTAAATAACATTAGGAAAAATAATTGCATTAGATTAATGAATTAATTATAGGCAGAGGAAGATATGCAGGACGAATTTCCGGTGATCAAATTTAATGATACCGATGAAAGCCATATTCCGCAAAATTTAACTCATTTAGTGAAAGCTGTTAATTGGATAACTAATAAATATGTCACCGCAGTTAGAAATCTCAAAATCGATCGGGTCGGGTAATTTATTCTTTCTGTGCCTTTTTCTTATTAATTCATTATACTTACAGTAAAAATTGCAAGTTGAAAAAAAAATTTGTTTTCAATACTTGATTTTCAATGTAATTTAAAAGAAAATTTTTTCTTTTATTGCTTTTAATGTCAAAAAAAAAAAAAAAAAAAAAACAGTAAAGATTTCAGAGAATGGTAGAGGGAGAGAGGTAAAAGGAGGAAAAAAGAAAATAAAAAATTGAAATACTGTCAATTAAAAAATGTTTAAAATTCGTTGAGAAAAGTAATTTTATCAATAATTTTGATATTTTTCAAATTTTTATTTTATTATTATTGAAAATTGCGTTCGATTTAAAGCAGTTTTGCCCTGGTGCTAGTTCAGCTAGTGCAGTAGCAGATGTCGTAGAAGCGCTAGCTAAATCACAAACCAAAAAATTGCGCAAACTTTCCATTCAAGAATTATTGGACTGTAGCGGTTCCGGATGCCGATCATATGGAGATTTTGACAAGGTGGTATACTGCTTTAGAATGCTAATAACTAAATATATATATATATATATATACTTATTTACAAAACATATATAAAATTAAATGTAACGGGAACAAATAATTTTTATAATAATATACTGGTAATAAATAAAGAAGAATTAATGATTAGAATAAACAACAATAATTAATGATGACTTCTTGAATCAAATAATTAATTAATTAAACAATAAGCCCCATCATCACCAATAGTCAAAAAAAGAAAATAAATAAATAAAAAATAAAAATATGAACAGCAAAAACTTCCCATCAAATAATATAAACTCCCCACTGACACACAAAAATTAACAAAACTTAAAAACAATATAAAACAAAAAATAATAGAAATAGATGAGTAAAATTCAAAATTGGTTTAGAAAACTAAATTGTAATAATATTATAACTTAGTGTTCTTAATTAATTACCAGTATTAATTATTAATATTAAGTGCTCCAATTTTAATGCTTAGTTCTTCAGTATTCCATGTATCTCATGGAAAAGAAGGGATTGGTGTGTGAGAACAATTATCCATATGTGAGGGCGGAGAAAACATGCTTGGTCAGAGGTCAAAGACATGGAAAGGTTAGTAAAATGCTACATGTGCGTCAGGGTCATCAGACGTTGTTCAAAGCGTTGCTATCAAAAGGACCGGTTGCTACAAGGGTTTTAGTGACGCCAAATTTCATAAATTATAAAGAAGGTTGGAAAATTCATTTCATTAATTTTAAAGTTTAAAAAAAGAGAAAAAACAGAATAGAGATAGATGAATAAATGGATGAATGTGAGGAAAGAAGAATCAATAAATTAGAGATATGAAAAAAATAAAATTTTTAAAGGAATCTTTTATATAAATTATAAGGACAGTAGAATGAAATAGCAAAGTGAATTCATCATTATGTATTTAACTTAATCCATTTTCGCCTCCCATTATAATTAACAAATTTGAACTTTAAATGTTTATTAAAATTTAAATTTTGAAGGAATATTTCGACACAATTGCCAACCAAAAGCTTACTCTCATACAGTTTTAGCGGTTGGATTTACAGATACTTATGTTTTAATTAAAAACAGGCAAATCTTTCCTCTTTTATATTTTTCAATAAAATTTCGAACAATTTATTGCGCTGTCTGATTTTATTCAAGACAAAAATTTAATAATTACTCGTTGCATGTTTAAACATATTAATCGATCAAAAATTGAAATTCCATGATCCAAAATACACTGCATTTGTTAAATTTTTGTATTATTCCTATTGAATGATCCATTTATACGGTTATTATATTATTCGCCAATAGAATTAAAATAATCACAAACTAATAAATTATATATCGCTGATATTACTATAGAAACTTGCACAAAAAAAAAAAAAGCTAATGGCGTTGTAAATGTTGGATAGTTCATTACCAAAATATGCTGCAATTTTTTTTTTTTTAATCAATGAAAAAATTAAACTAATGAATAAATTGATAATAATTTTCAGTTGGGGCACCGATTGGGGCGAAAAAGGATATATGCGTATTTCGATAAATCCAAAAGAAAATTGTAATTTATATCTTGAATCACTTGCTGCAATATGAAAAAAAAGTAATTCGACTATTCATTTTATTATTATTTGAATTATTATGAAATATCGAAATATCCAAATTTGACTGTAACAAATATAATAGTTAATGCATTCAGTGGTGCGACTACACAATAAAAACATTCATCAGATTAATCATAACTTATTGGAATAAAATGAAAGAAAAATTAAATTAAAAGAGAAAAAATAATTATTGAAGCTAGTTTATAGGAGTTGTTAATAAAATATCAAAAAAATATTTCTCGATAAATATTAAAAATTCAAATTCTGTAATGGAGCTAATAAAAAGGTTCTGAATAACACAATTTTACTTCATTTTTTTTTTCACAGTTGGTCACATATCTTTGTCATACGACTTTATATATGAATGTCTACAAAATAAATTCCTCAAATATTTCGAGTTAAAAAATCTTAACATGAAGACACATTCTAACTTTAATCAGACATAAAAAGAACTATCGCAGACGTAAAAAAACGAATTTCCATGCTTTTTCCTATTTTTGACATTGCAC